GTAGAGAAATTGTTAGAAGTCCCATGGTGGAAGCGCAGTGTTCAGTCCATATATCTTTGAATATAAAGTTGTGCAGCGAGACCCTGGTATGAGAGACTTCTGCTTTATCCACTATAATTCGGCATTAATCATAACTATTGTTTTTTTTTTCCAAGTTCCATATTTTGGTGGTGATTTTATTTCTTTTCTTTTTTCATATTTTGGGGTAAAGCTGGAGGAGATGTGGTTTGCTACATTTTTGAGCCAGCTTCTTCAGACCAAGATGACCCAAGCTCTCCGTTTCAAACATGGAGAGGTAAGTTACAGTGGCTTAGTTTTATTACATCAGTGCAGAAGTTAAAATAGGTTATGTCAGAGAGTGTTATGGCTCATAAATTTCAGATTAATCTAAACACTTGGTCTCTTTTGAGGTGCAGATATATTCTGTAAGTGTTGATTCTAACTTTGGATATAGCAAGCCATCAAAAACTGCTGATTTGGAGGGTGAGATAACCATTGAATTTTCATGTGATCCAATTGTCTCCTCTGCACTGGTGAGTGTACTTTCGTGTGGTCTTAGATACTAGAAATTTTATGCTCACTTTACAATGTGATTATGACTTGGCATGCAGGTTGATATCGCTTTAGATGAAACACTGCATCTGCAAGAGCATGGACCTTCAGAAGAAGATGTTTCCACTGTGCTTGAAATTGAACAGAGAGACCATGAAAATGAACTGCAGGTTTTTCCTTAATGACAAAACTTACACATCCATTATTATTCTCTTATTTATCTTATGTGGTTAAAAGAAGTAATAAGCCTTAAGATCCATCTATCTTACCTACTCCTATGTCAATGTTCAATGACTCTTCAAAAGCTCCTGCCCAATGTGGTTAAAAGAAGTAATAAGCCTTAAGATCCATCTATCCTACCTACTCCTATGTCAATGTTCAATGACTCTTCAAAAGCTCCTGCCCAGGGCAGGGTGTAGGAGGTCCTTGATATGCCAGGCTTTACCCTATTAACACGGATTATTTTATATATATATATATATATATATATATATATATATATATATATATATATATATATATATATATATATATATATATATATATATATATTATCTGTATATCAATTATTTTGTAATGCTTCACCACAATTTAGATTCACGGACTGTAGTCATTTGGAGTCAGTCCATTACAGTTCAATGACTATACTGCTTAATGCTTTTAGGAGTATTCTTTATACGTATACAGTTCTTCTCTTGCGAGAAACGTCAGAAACCTGTGCCCTTTCTAAGTGGTTCATCTTTGCTTTCTTTCAGGAAAATATATTTTGGCTTTTTCAGATTTTGAAGAGCTACCGTTCGAGGTTGTATACTGATAATCTGGAATCAACATTTCAGGTCGATACCTCTGTTTGAGCTGAAATCTTTACACATATTTACCTATTTTGTGTATGGTCCCCTCTTCTGCTAAAAGTGAAAATCATGGCTTTTACCATTTGATTATCTTCCGCTGGCTCTCTTGCAACTTAAAAGTTCAAAAGTATGATCAAGTTGTTCCCTACACAGAGTACAAAATTTAGAGTGGAACTTGGAAGTCACTCTGGTCACATTAGTTTTGGTTTAAATGTTAGGAGTAAAATCAAACTCGATTATCTGTGCCCACAGTGGTTGTTTTAAAAAAAAAAATCCAGCAAAACAAAAATTAACCACAGGAGCTCAGTTTTCTGATAATGTCTTACTGCTGTATGCTGAATCTTTGATGATTTGTTATCCTATCTTTTTATTTATTTATATGCAGTTACTAGACAAAGCAAGAAGCAGGGCTCGACAAACTCTCTCTCCATTAACTGCGAAATGGGCACTGCAGAAAATCTTGCCATACCCTTGTAAACAGCATTATGTCTCAGTGACCTTAATACCTGAAACAAACCGTTTTCGATTACTGAAACACCAACTTAAAACCCAACTTAAGCAAAAATATTATGGTAGATATATGAAGGTATGGTGTTTACACTTTCCTTGCCCATTTACTGACTGCAACCTGATTAGTCTTTTGGCTGCATCTCTTTCTGGTTTTAATTTTTCTTCTGACAATGGTTCGTTTAATTTTGTGCAGACTGTGGACAAAGTGTGGAAGGTTTTTGCCAGGAAACATGTTTCTCACTAATAGGTATAAGTCAACGAGTCATATGCCTTCTCCTGGCCTTGCCTCGCGCTTAAATGTCTGTTGCTTCTAAGAAATGAAATACATTAGTTCATTCACATCATTCTTACCTATCATTTATGTTCGTAGCAGGTGTAATGCAACAGCCAACATTAACCTTATGCCAATTACTTGAGTATTGGTTCATCCCATTTGTACAGCGGATTCAGTTTTATCAAGTATAATTTGGTACTAGATTCTTTTGGGTGCTATCATCCACTATTTAACTGAACATCTTCGTTGGGTTGTGACTAAGACTCACAACTTATATTATTTTCCTTTCGATGATTCTTTAACTTAATTCTTACGCAATTTCCGGTTTGAATACATAACTGTTACATACAAGTGATACAACATACATGTAAGACATTATATCATGCAGCCTATGCTACTAAGAATCTTCAATATACCTGATCTACATGCATCTCTCTATCAAATTCTTGACTCTTTGACAAGAGTATGATCACTACTAGACAATGTGTTAGAATCAACTCCTTTTGATGTATTAGATTCCATTTAAGTGCTTTCCTAGAGTTTAGGTTATGTTTTCTTAGCTTGAGGTCTCATTATTGTGTTACTGTCAGATCAGTGTTCATTAGGGATTCTCCTTGTATGTCATTTAGAGCTCTTTAGAGGGCGAATGATTAATGAAATCTTAAAGTCTTCTACCAAGTGTTGCCTTGCTTTTATGCTTGTTTGTTGTTAGACCTTTATAGATATTGTGTCTTACTTGCATATTAGCTCCCCTCCAACCCAACTTGATGCGCTAAGGACTCGTGGTTCGGACCCGCTTGTACCCGCTTTGAAGTATCGGCCGTCACAAGCCCCGACCACCCGCACTCCGTCGCCCAGATAGACGTGAGTGCTCCTGAGGTTCTATTGCCCGCTTGTGTTGCTTTGTGCTCATAAGCCCCTCTTCCGCTCAAGGCTAGTGTTCTTGCCGCCAAAAGGCTAGAGCGCGCCGCACGTTTCGGGGTCCAAACTCCCGGACCGTAACACAATGCCATTATTCAAAAAGCAATTGAGTTTGACACTTGAACGAATATACGTATCCAACACGGTTGGGGCAAGGTAAAAAGCCTACAGATAAGATGGATCTATTGTATAGAACTAATGTAAATAGGATGGAGATACAAAAACTAGAAATTCCTCAGATTTCGGAAATCCTTCCATAATATAGGCCTGTAACTGTTGAAATTTATCAATGGCCTCTTTCGCATCAAAAACTAGGCATGCATCTTACACAACTAAACGATATCCTTCATGTGAACGGAGTTTTCTTCTCTAGCCCTTTGGTTACGAGCTTACTTCATACAGCGCGAGAAAGCCACCGTTCTCTTATTCTCCCTGATGTGTATTTGGACAGTATACTTCTCATTTAAAGCCATATTCTTCTCCTTCTTCAGAACTGGAGGACTTGTCAAGGGGCTTATAATTCTATCACTGAACCTCTAAAGGTGCTTCTTACAGCCTGAGGAAGATCTGTCCCAAGACTTTGACAAATCTGGGCTTCTCAGTAGTTGTTTCAGAGTCAACTATACAGCATTGAGCTCAAGGGCTTCATCTGAGTAATTTACTGAAGGCTCAAGAACAGCAAATAAATCTGCTTCATTATTTTGATTCAAATGACAATTACTTCTGCAATAATTGTCTCACATATTTACGTGCCTCTTGGCTCTTACACATTTTCTTGCAAGGCCTTTTGCTCTTTGATTTAACAGATTTAAAAAGTTCAATTCACTGCCAGACACTAAGAAATCAAATGGTGAGTTCAGGTTTTTAGCCCGTGAAGACGGCTTTGAGCAAAGTGGAGTCTGATTGTCTGAATGAACTTTATCAAAACAATCTTGAACAGACTTTCCTGGAACCTGAAACAATAGGATGACCACAACAGTTAGATGATGATTGCTGCAACTCCTTTAAAGACATGCATAACTCATCTACAAAATTTGGGATGCTTGAAAAGAGACTTGATACACAACCAAATTGCTAATTAAGCTTTCTAATTCTTTTTATCAAACTTCTCTTCTGCTACTACGAGTAAGTCATTAACCTCTCCTGAATAGCAGAACTAAACGAAAAAAACCCCAAACAAAGATAAAGTCAAATGCCCCAATAATGCAGCACTTTAACTACATTGGTATTCTTAGAGGTCATATGCAACAAACTAACTATTGCTTCCTCTTCTGAATGATTATGAAATCTAAATTGAGAGAGGGGCATATCTTAGCTCTTAAAAACGTTATAGTTTCATCCCATTAGATATTTTACTTGCCAACATGGTCACAATATGGGCGTTGGCCAAAGTGTCCACTTTCGGCGTTGGCCAAAGTGTCCACTTTCGGGACTCTACAAGTCTTTTCATCTTTCACATTTTCTCACATAATTCAACCGGAATTCTCCTGTAACATGAAATGGAAAACTATATACTCCCTTCATTCCCAAAAGTTCGACTTACTTTTTGTTTTGGGGTGTTTAAGAAAGTTTAGACTCACTAATAGTTTATTCTATTTTTAGCAAACCCCCTTTACTACCTTACCCCTATTGCCCCACACTATTTACACAATGCACAATGCACTCAATCATAAACATTATAAACTCAACAACCCTCTGTCATTATTCCCCTTACTTCTACGAATACTAGTGGTGATCAACAATGGCCAAGCCCCTTAGCCCGGTCCGAACCGGTCCAAAAATGTGCGGCACAAACCTTTAAAATGATAAAAATAAATAAATAAATAAATGATTAGAAACCCTAATCTGGTCTGAAATAAGCCTGAATAATCCGTTTTGGTCTGAAAAGTCTGACCTTTTTGCGGGTTTGAGCATGAAATTAAGTCCAGCCTGGCGTGGCCGCAATTTGATCACCTCTACAAAATAGAAGATACAACTACCCGCTGGCGTGACTAAACACTGTATCAGCAACACTCTCATAGTGAAGCAAACTTGTTGATAATCAGGAATGAAGAGACCCAAAAACCTGTTATCAAATCTCTTTCTTGTTTCCAACACTTTGCAAGAGCTTCTAATTCATTCCATCCCCATTGCCTTCTATGTCAAATCCCACTCTTTTCATCAAATTACTGCTAATCCCCCAAATCCCATCTCTAAAAACCCTAATTTTTACACCCCATCTTCCCCAAAACCTCTGGATTTCATCACTGTTTGTGAAACCCTATCATCTTACAACAATGACTTCAATCGGGCACTTGAATTTTTCAACTGGGTCGAAACCAATTGTGGGTTCCGGCATAATACAGAAACTTACAATTCTATGATTGATATTCTGGGTAAGTTTTTTGAATTTGATAAATGTTGGGAATTTATTGAAATCATGCGAAAACATTCATTTTCTATGCCTAATTATTTTACTTTTCGTATAATGTTCAAGCGTTATATATCTGCTCATTATGTTAATGAAGCAATTGATATGTATGATAGATTAGGGGAGTTTAATTTGAAGGATGAGACATCTTTTTGTAATTTGATTGATGCACTTTGTGAGTATAAACATGTGATTGAAGCGGAAGGTTTGTGGGTTAAGAGGCAATCGTTTGTTAAATTTGTGAGTGAGACGAAAGTTTGTAATATGATGCTTCGAGGGTATGCAAAGATGGGGTGGTGGGGTAAGTGTAGGGAGTTTTGGGAGGAGATGGATAAGAAAGGGGTTCGGAAAGATTTAGTGACGTATTCGATTTATATGGATGTGCAATGTAAGTGTGGGAAGCCATGGAAAGCTCTAAAAATGTATAAGGATATGAGGAGGAAGAGGATGCAATTGGATGTTGTGGCGTATAATACGGTTATTCATGCTATTGGTCTTAAAGAGGGAGTTGATTTCTCGATTCGTATGCTTAGAGAAATGAAGGAGTTAGGATGTCAGCCAAATGTGGTCACATATAATACTGTTCTTAAGCTTTTGTGTGAGAATGGGAGGATGAAAGAGGCATATGGTATGCTTTATCAGATGCGCAAAATGGGTTGTGAACCCGATGTACTTACCTACCACTGTTTTTTCCGCTGTCTTGTTAGGCCAAAGGAGATGCTAAGGTTGTTTGAGAAGATGTTAGAAAGTGGGGTTACTCCAAGAATGGATACTTATGTGATGCTTATGAGAAAATTTGGGAGATGGGGATTTCTTCGCCCTGTTTATATTGTTTGGGATAAGATGAAAGAACTTGGTTGTAGTCCCAATGAGGCTGCTTACAATGCATTGATTGATGCTTTGTTGCAAAAGGGTATGGTGGATAATGCAAGGCAGTATGATGAAGAGATGCTGGCCAAAGGGCTTTCTGCTAAGCCTAGGGTTGAGTTAGGAACTAATGCAGCAAATGACAAGTCCGGTGATGTGGAGCTATGATGCTTTAACTTGTTAGAGGATTCTGTTTGAAGTATATGGGTCTTCTGTGCTGTGACTTGATGTGTTTATCAGTCTGGATAATAACGGCTTGTTTATGTAATAATGACATGAGTGCTTGATGGCTTGACATGTGTTTGCTGAGAGGCTTGCACCCATGATTCTTCCTAAGTTGATTTTATTTAAATTTTTCTTGGAGAGGCATCCAAGTAGTCTGCAAAGTAACATATTAATGGGAACCTGAACAATGAAGTAATGGAAACAAAATTTTCTGGAGATGCCCTCTATTAGCTAAGCATAAAAGTGGAAGGGATTGTGGAAGGACTGGACTGAAGGGAAATAATATTAATACTTCTGAATGTGATGTGATTGATGTCACTAATTCCTGCAGGTGCGTATCTTTCTACTTCTGTTTTATTGTCATGGAATTTTAATACTATCGACTTGACTAATACATATGATATTTGACTTGCTAGTGCTACCATTGCATCTATAGCAGCTTCAGGTTAATTCCTGGAGTATGAAGTGAGTGGTCTAAAATTTCGTGTTTTAACAGCATAAAGTGACGAAGTGGAGGTATGATATCTTGTTTTGTATCCCTATGTTTTTTGCGGTTTACATTTAGCAGCCAATATGTATATTTAGTATATATATATTTTTAAAAATCTAATAAACTGCTATATTCATGATTTTATTTAAAATTGTGGATACTTTAACTGTCAAAAAAAATACTGATTTTAGGTAACTATTATTACACTCATTAGAATTATGCTAAGGGGTTATTTGGTTCGATCAAGGAAAATGAATAAATCCCTCCTCCCTTGGTTAACATCAAGAACACTGCCACCTTATATGGAGCCCCATCATTTACACCGCCAACAGACCCCATCCCCCACCACTGCCATGGTTTAAAATGGCTTCCGTACTGTGGTGATGCAGCCATTCTGTCCAGGATTCTAAATCACTGAAATGATATTTGCCATACTAAAACGATGTTTTTTAAAAAGTCGTGATTTTTTCCAATTTGACTGTTTCGAATTGAAATTCGCCTTTATCAAATGATAATGACTGAGATTTGACGCTCTCAAGTCTCAAGTGAAGAAGGTTACGGTTTATACATGGAAGTCAACTCTCTTTTTTCATCTAAAAAATATCTTGTGTCGTGTTTAAGTCATTTTTGTGACCATTTGTATAGTGTGAATCAATAATTATTTTGGGTTAGTGGATGTGAGACAATTGTTTGGTAGTTGTGACTTAAGGTGAACAAAAATTCAAGGTTAGAAATCAAAAAAATTTAGGAACCTAAACTAGTAGGATATACGGTTGACTCCAACTTCATTACCAGGTGATATCATCATTTTGAAATCTTGACACCGCTATTTTGCTTTGGAAAGAAATAAACATGTGATAATATTTTGTAATAGGACGTAGGAACTTATTATTTATTTTTTTTTTTTCTCTCTTTTTATTTCTAAATTTTTTTATGTTATTTAAAGAACCATAGCCACACCAAATTTGTTGCCATTGTAATCTTTTAATGGTGTTTATGTATTTTGTCTAAATCATGAGCATTCTTACATTTGAGTAAATGAATTAATAGTCGATCGTATTAAAAAAATTTACACCATAACATTACATAATATAGGACACTAATTTTGGAAATTTACAACTAGTCGGTAATAAGTCAAATAACATGGCATGGGTTGAGAATGGAGTAGATTTATGAAGAAATTGAAGATAATTGATGTAGTGGGTCAGTCAAATGTATAAAAAGTTATGACTTAGATAAAAAGAAATATGTATCAACCCTGATTAAAAGATTGCAATGGCTACAAATTTGTTATTGTCATTGTTAAATTATCTTTAAAAAGAGTATAAAAAAGTTAGAAGTTGAAATATAAAATGAGTTCTTATCATAAAACACCAATAATATTATTCTTTCCAAAGCAAAGAAGTAGGGTCAAGAAGTCAAAATATTAAGAGTGAGTCACATCTAGCCAATAATTCTTTCACACCCACTACCAAAATAATTATAACTATTAGGAAATGACTTTTAATTGACTTAGTAGGGATGGGTTAAAAGTCCACTTATCACCTACTCAGGCAGTCGTGTTCTTGCTTCTGTCTTATCTGAACAGTTATAATTTTTAAATTAGACTTGTAATTCCAGTGTTACCCATGTTAGAAAACACGTCTCTGATTATATGTTTATACCCTGAAGACTCGCTTATTACTCAGGGAGTCATGTTCTTGCTTCTGTCATATCTGAACAGTTATAATTCTTAAATTAGAGAACACGCCTCTGATTATAACCTGGAGACTTTCTTTAGTGTTGAGTCTATACCACAGACTCATCCTGAACACATATCTTGGCCTTAAAATCACAGGATTATGAGTTTAGGACTCATCACAAGAAGCACATCTTAGAGACCAGTGGACCACCATATACAAGATAATCCTTTCCTAAATTTTAGAAAAACATTATCATCTTACCCATCGCTTCTCCATTATCTGTTTACACCTTTATATTTTAAAACGCAGAAAAGTTGTCACAACCCTATTTCAGCTGCTATGTTGATCAGGCTTAGTCTACCTACAGAATTTGGAAAGTTTGCTTCCTTTCATAATAACATTAACATTCGGGTAGCATTTAACAGGACCACTTGTTGTACAGAGGTAGTAATTTTCAAAGGATATGTGCATTACTAATGGATTTGTCCATTGTTAAGGGCCTTGTAAATGTGATATATGAGGAGATATGAGTTTGAGATTTTTGGACAATGTCTTTGGTCATTGTTGTTATTATTGGTTCTCATTCGTTGTTTATACAAAACAGATGTCATTTATTTTCGTTTTATCTCTACAGTCAAGAATGCTCTTTTGCCTCAGTGTTGATGCCAGAGCATTGCTAGGGATGCCTTAGACAAAGATTGTCGTTGATCTTAGCTGTCTGAAACTTTTTTGGTTAATTTGGGAGTTGTGTGCACATGGCTGATGTGTGCATAGTTAGACTTACACACGATTTTCTCCGGGAAAACCTGAAGCGGTGTATTGAACCGTTCTCAAACGTGCCTTTGACACATTTTTGGCTTATTTTGGTAACTGCATCTTAGATAGTTTCCTTATTTTGGTAGAGTTAGTTGATTCTTTTCCTTGTTTTATGGTTTTACTTTCCTATTTGAGGATGAATTAAACATTTGGATTAGTGTTTTGGTTTTCTAAGTATAGGTAGGATTAGTGTTAACAGCGATGTTGATTATTTACATAAATGCTTTTGTGACGTTTTACTTGGAAATTTTGATGAAATAATTGCAAGTTCATGTGTTACACATTGAGAATTGGTGTATCACTGTAATCTTTCGTCCCATAGGTGTAGTTGGAGTGTGAGTGACCTTACTGACCTAGCCTTTTAACATAATAATTAATCTGATCCAGTGATCCTTTAATCTTGGGACTTTTGGAGGACTGTCTTAACAAATTGGCTTAGAGTTTAAGTTCTGCCCCTTTATATTTGTTACTTCATAGTCATACGGAGTATGTAATAGCAATATATCTGCTGTTTAGAGAGTGCTTCACTGCTTTTATGACCTGGAACAAATCAAATTTAGTTTAGTCCACCAGATGTACCCAATGCATTATCCAAGTTTCGTGAATGGTTAACAGAATTTCAAAAAGTGCTTTTGGGCTAAGTTTGTTTCTTTTGTCACTCTAATAAATTGAATATTGTGCTCTTAACATTATGGTTGCAGATGACTGCTATGATACATCCCTGCAGATCAATGGATTATTATTGAGAACCTAAAATCAGCCGTCATGCAAAAATGTCAGGAAATTACTACGGACGAGTATGAAGATGCCTACAAAATTAGCAAACTGATTTGCAAAATGATCAACATTTCTTCTCTCCTGGCAACAAAATTAGCAACATTCATAGAAGGCAGCTTGGTGATCATCAGTTCATCATATCTCCTCAGTGAAACTTAAAGTTGATTCAAAAACAGTAATTTCTCAAAAGAAATAAATGGAACTTTCCATTCAAATAGACAATCAGGGACTTGCATTTAGGCTCCCTTTTTCGTTGTTATCATATTGCCTGAATCTTGATTTATTAGCATAAGTAAAATCTACGTTGTGCTGTGCTAATATTGTAACTTGTAAGAAACATGCCTTAATCCTGATGCATTTTTCAGGAGCTTAATGAAATTTATCTGAATCTTTTTGCATGTTTCAATTTTGCAAGGTAATGGGGGAAAGTTTAATATAGAGATGTTATTAAAGTCTTAACTAAAATACGGAGTATGAAGGAAAAATTGCATTTAAAAACATAAACTTTGGGCTATTACAGTCGTTGATGAACAACTTATTGTAGAGTGTAATCAGCCAACATTAATGCCATAGCAGCTTTGTAGCCACCCTCACAAACTTGGCAATTTCTAAGCTATGATGCGGTTTGAACTGGATGAGTAATGATCTCCAACTTTCCTATTTTAAACCGATAATAATATTTTCAATTACTCGTAGTTAATTACAATTCAAATTTTACAATTTGACGATTTGATAAATGATTCTACCCTTTACATACTATGTATATCTCTTAACTAACAAAAACCTATAGTTAATAAATATAGTCAATTATTTGGTTGCTGAGGGGTAAACAACTACTTACTTTCTATCAATAATTAGGTTTTTTAACTTATAATATATACTAGATCAATGAAATTTGAGTATGACGTCTTAATTATACGTGTTCGTAGATCCGATTTTACAATTCGATTTTAAAAGCCCCTCTCAATTCAGATTTGAACCACGATTTTGATAACTTTGCAGAGCATGACTCAATACCTTTTTTTTTCTACTCTATTCAACTCAACTCGTCCATGACTCAAGGCCAACCTCATACCCCATTCAACTTCAACTCGAAACTCCATTCGACTTCTCTCTACCTAACCTCAATCCAAATAGCTCATAAACAGGCTCAAAGCTCACCAAAATATCTACTTCCTCCGTTTTATTTTAGATGCATTATTTTTAAATTCAGACTCCTAGGTATATAGAAAGGGGTGTTAAATACCGCCAGAAAAAATGATCGAAACCGCCAAAATTTAGTGTGAATGGACAACCATGCCCTTAGAGCAATTCCAATGGTTGTAGCTACGGACTTGCTTGCAGATTCCAAAAGTCTCTAGCTATTAGCTTGACCATTGGAGCTAAAAAATACAATTAGCTTGGCCAAGCTAATTTGCTTGAGAAAAAAGTTTCTAAAATTTTAGAGATTAATATACTAATACAATTAAACTTTTAAGATAATTGAGAAAGTTAAGCTCATTTAAATTGCAAGTCATTAGCTAACCATTGGGACCCAAATAGCTACACAAAAAATTAGCTTAAAATCCTACGTGGCATGGCAAGCTTATTTGAGAATTAGCTTACCATTGGAGATGCTCTTAGTACTTCACCACTATCTTCCCTACACCTTGACAGCATCAACCTGACCGGCGACGACCACCACCACCACCTGACCGGCGACCAACCACATCCCCCTCAATGACGATCCACCACCTTCCCTCACCGGCGGAAAGGTGGTGTTTTTTTTTTCGGCGGCAACCGTGGTTGCCGGAAATTAAGAAAAAAAACACTACCATCCCGCCGGCGAGGGAAGATGGTGGGTCACCGGTCAGGGTGACGGTGGTCGTCGCCGATCGGAAGGTGTGGTGGGTCGCCGGATCGGATAAGGGATAGTGAAGTAGTAAGGACATGATTGTCCATTCACATCAAATATTGACAGTGGTGATATTTTTTAAAGCGGTGTTTAACAATCCACAACTACAAAGTAATACAAATCCATAAAATATCCAAACCCCCTTAAAATCTTGTTAGCTTTTTGCAAGTAACGCTACCTAAAATATCATCAAAACCCACTGTAAACAATAAAACATTCATAAGTCGGTGATGCCGTGCAAAAATATAAACCCCGTGCAATAACACCCTCCTACTCCGTATGAACAAACTACCCTTCTCCTCTCTGCTTTCTTCATTTCATCATTTTCTTCTCATTTTCTCTCTCCTCTTCATCAATGGCGCATCGATTCTCTCAATCCCTAATCACCCTCTTCTCCTCCTCTTCCACAACCACCTCAAGCGCGCTTAAACTCCTCCCAAATTCTCTCTCCTCCCCAATTTTCACCAACCCCAGAAACCACCTTTCCACTAAAGCCCGCCTCATCGAAGTAGACCTCGATTCTGCCTCCGATGGCGGAGAAATCGAAGTTATTGGGTTGAAGAAGCTTGAAGATGCTATCCATGGTATCTTCGTGCGACGGCTTGCCCCTGATTGGCTCCCTCTTCGTCCTGGTTCTTCTTACTGGGTCCCTCCTAAACGAAGCTCTGATAACATTGTTGAGATTGTGGAGAGGCTTACTAATCCTTTGACTGAGGAGGAGTCTCTTTCTCTCTCCTCTGCTTCTGGTTGGCCTTCTTCTTCTTTCTTCTTTCAAGGTTAGGATTTTTCTTTATTTTTTGATTAAATTGTTTTTCATTTTTAATTACTGTGGAATAATAGATTGGTGAAAGGTTTGAATTATTTTAGGGGTAAAGTTTGAAACTTGAAATGGGTTTATGTGATCATTTCTGTGTTGTTGAAACTGTTAGGTTTGGTTAATTGCTTAGGGTTGTGAATTGGAATGGTGAATAGATTTGATTCGACTCAATATCGTGATCGATAATTTGGGGAAGATTCGGTTTGAGCTTAGTTGGGAAATTGGGGGAAATGGTGAATATTACAATTAATTTATTGACAAAATTGGACATTTTTAAAGGTTTAGGGTCACTAATGTAAGGCTAGAGTAGCTTAGTTGTTGCATTGTGTTTTGTTTATGATATGGACATCAGAAAAAAAAAAAAAAAAAAAAATGGCACCTTGATTGAGTGATGGCAAGAGTGTGAAAATGGCTGAAGTATTGGCAATAATCATTTGTAAATAAGTGCTGTAATAATTTCTTTTTCTAGTGATAAAGACATTGACTTCTAAGAAAAACTTGTAAAGTTTTATTTGCTAGAGCTAATTAGTGGAGAATGTGGTGGGGGGATGATCCTCTCAGTGAACTCATTGTACCCCAAATTGTACTAATAATTGGTGCTAATTGTAGTGGCACACCTATAGGTAAAAAAGAAGCTTATAAATGGAGAGTCGATTTGATGATTAGATTGGTATGAAGAGACTATATGTTTGGTTTGATAGAAACTGAATTCATCATGTTATTGAGCAAAAAGGTGGCATCTTTGTAGTGTTTATTGGAGCGTTATGTGTCAGAAGACTTGGGACAAGCGTTTAGAAAGGTTGTCTACATTGAGAAGTGGTGATCATTGGTGACAATTTTCTTTGACAGTCTCTGATTGAGTCGAGCTATGTTAATCACTTAATCGGACACGGCTAAAATCGCGAAGTGTCCGTGTCGACACGACACGGACACGTGACACATGTCCGACCCTTCACTGGGCACTCGGACGCTTCCATTAAGAGTGGAGAGGAAAAAAGAGGAGAAACATGAAAGATAAACACATCTTGTTCGAAGACCACTATTGATATAGAGAAGATGGAGAGAAGAAGATTGCCATTTATTAGGAGAAATTACTGAGAAAAGAATTAAAATTAAAAAAAAAAAATAGGGGTTGACGTAATGAAAAATTTAAAACTTTTGTAATATATAAGTTATTTATATAAATTTAAGTGAAGTATTGACGTTTTCCTCGTACTCGTGTCCAATATCGGACAGAGTCCCCGTGTCCTAAAAATTTGGAACTTGCCGGATCGGACACTTGGACATGTGTTCGTGTCCGACACCCATTCCCGAGTCCATGTAACTTAGGAGTTGAGTATAACCAGAATTTTAATGACGGCAAGTTGGCAACCTATAGTGGGGTTTTAGTTGACTTCAGAACTGTTTGATTATGCCCTGAGTTTAAAGACATAGGTTTAAGAAGCAACTCGAACTGATTATCTACTATCTCACTGTAAGAAGAAGAGAAATATTGGTGTTAGTATGGTTTTATTTTACGAGTTTAATTTTCTGAGCTTTTATTTGTCGCAGTGGTAACAATTCATTTGGGTCTTCTACTCTTGAAATTCTAATGCTAATGGATATAGGTTGAGTTTCCTTGACTAGAACCTGGCTTTTACTTCACAACCCCCCTCCACTTGTTCAATTTGAGGTTACTTCCGAAATGTGTATATGCCCTTTTCAGTTAGTTTTCCTTATTAATCCATCTCATTGCCATAAACCAGTAAATTTATGTACTTTAAAAGTCTTCTTGGTAGTAATTTTTAACCCTCTTGTTAATTGTTTTCAAATGTATAAAGTGTCTTGATATGTCATCGATGAGAAACCCTACTTCTAACTGTTCTGGAAGTCAAGAGTTGATTGAGAGGTCAAAATGTGTGATAGTAAACTTCCTGTTTCTGTTCCATCTCTTTCTGATGTTACAACAAAATGTGGTTCATGAAGCATTTACAATAATAATTCAATGTCCTCTAGAATCTCTCTGCAGATAAATTTTCTTAAAGTGCTTTCTGTTTGAGTCTTTGTAATTTGCCTTGCATTTTGAAACTGATATAAATAAATGATGGGTCCATGGGATATTTGCTAAAGAGATGTTGAGCTGGAGCCTTACTGCTAAAGTTCAATTTTAATTGTAGCCTATCTTTCAGACTGTTGTTTTTGCCCAAGTTATTTTGTAGTCGTTGACCTTCAGGAATCTGTCTTCTTACTAAATATCTATCTTCAAATGCTATGATTGGCCTTTTTTAGCCATTTGCAGACAAGGCTATATCGCCTTTTTCATTTTCCTGACATATTATGTACCTAGCAGCATGTTGTGAAATGATTTGACTTATTGATTGCAAAATGATAATCGGCTTAAGCTGTTCACATAAACCTTTTTTCACTGTTAGACAGCAACAATAATATGTATCGGTAAAGGAGGCATATCTTACTGGGGAAAAAAAAAAAAGAATGGTTTTAGAATTTTTTTTGTTGTGAAGTACAATAAAAGTTTAATAAATGCAAGTTTATAGTCATAGCCCTTTTTTCCGGCCAGATTATTTCATTATTAACAATGTCTACTTGCTTTTTGGTGACAGGGTCAGTCCCAGATCATAGTACTCCTGTGAAGGTAGAGGTGCAGGTATTTGACCCAAGCAACTTAGGAAAGCCGTCATTATCTGAGG